CTTTAAATATTTTTTTCAGAACAGAATGGCGTCTCTACTGCTTGAAACTGCTAAACGTTTGTACATTATTGTTATTATTTATTATTTTTTTTTAAATTTCATAATTCTTTGTTTTAGGTAGTATATATGTATATATATATATATATATATATATATATGATGTAAATTTAATTTATACTTATTTAAATGTTTTGTTGTTGTACTGATGAAGGCATGTGCCGAAACCTTTACTTGCGTATTTTGTATTATTATTATTAAAGGTTTAAATTATATTGTTATATTGACTCAAATTGTTCGTGTCATATTAATCTATTTTAAAGCTTTATCGCAGTCCAAAACTTTTTATAATTAGTTTGATAAAATAAATTAATTAGATAATTCATCAAATAAAATGTGTAAAATAAAATAATATTGTAGTATATATTTATATATACATAATTGAATACTGTTTTGTAATATTATGTAATAAAAAAATAACATCTATTGCTTATCAGGTGGTTGTGTAGGTTTTAATATAAAAAAAATTGCACTTTAAATATCTGGAATTTTTTATAGTTTAAGTGATTTCTAGAGTTTTAACAGGCTCATGTTTTTTGGGGTTTTTTTTCGGGGAGGGGGGGGGATTACGTACCGTTGTAAGATTTGAGAATGGAATCTCTTATGTGAGTAAGTGGCTCTTTGAAGAACAGTTAACAACAAAAGACGATACTATAAACTAAGTACAACAATAAAGAAACGATACCTAAACTAGGTCTAATTACGATTAATAATTTTATTAATTTTAATTTAACATTTTAAATTCAGAATTAAGTGAAAACTGAAGGTAGTGTCTTAAAGTGCAGTGATGACTTGCACTCGCACAATGTTGAAGAATGTACAATGTTGAAACGAGGTACACACGCAAAGAGAATAAGTATAAATATACAGATCTTCGTCTCGTATCGTGATAGCAAAAAATCTTCTCCGGCAATCCCCCTAGATGATTATATAGCCTGTTTCAGAGACATTTCTTGAACGGTATTACACATTATATTCCTGTCTTGATTAGTCTCGATTTTTTTCTACATAATTCTAATTAAACAGATCATAGACTTTATTTATTTGCAAACACGGCCAAGGAAGACTATTTTTAATCAGTCATACCCTAAACACGGTACCGAACTCGGGGTCAGCTAATGTTCATTCACGGGGACTTAAACGCGTCCTCTACCTATATAACACTAATTTTTTTTTTTAAAAAGAACAAGTAACAAAAGAATGGCATTTTTTGTGTACCTTTACTTTTAATATCGGTTAAAATTTGTTATTTTAAAGTAGGGATTTAAAAAGTTCATACATTGTAAGGTAACTTTTTATAATCTCGCATGAAACAAATAAGAATATCTCCAAGCCCTTGGTTAAGTCATAACAGAATGCCTCCTTTTTGGTGATACCAACAGCAAAAGCCTTTAAAACTTGTTCCAACTGCAGAAAGGTGTACAAATTACAGACTGATTTCCCACTATGAATAAAGAACGCAAAAATTCAAACGGTAAATTAGGCATTTAATATAGATGTTACCGGCAATTGAGAAATGTAGGCATTGTATAGAATGCCTAGGCATTATATAAAATTCCTGGCGGTTTTTGGCAAAGTATGAAATGTTTTATTTTCTTGATTAAGTTACATACTTTGCCAAGGCTTTTTATACATTGCCTAGGTATAATATATAATGACAAATATAATTCAGGCAAAGTTTGATAAGAGCGTAAAGAAAATGTTTTTATTGGAAAAACATATTTGAAAATGAAAGATAACAATAAAACTGGAAAGCAAAGGTGTCATTGAGCTACTTGTTGCAGCAAGTAAGGCTGGAGTGGCATTTAGAATTGCTTAATTTTCTTTTTCATACAAAAACACTTCATGTTTTTGCACCTGGTCTTGCACATACACCTCACGAAATCTTGACCGATTCCAGTTGACTGGGAGATAGCAGCAGATCGGAGAGGTATTTCATGGGCAGGGATGTCTTCAACTCTCAAGAAATCTTTTGGACATACAGCGAACTGTGATCTTGAATACAACTGTTTCAAGATTCCTTGTGCATTGACAAGTCGGTAAAAGCCGTCTTCTGCCTCTGTCAAAACAACTGTCAACAGATTGCGCGAGTCGACCCGTCTCTTGTCAACGTCAGGAATAGGAATTCGCACAGTGGCTCCTAAAAGTGCAGGAGGGATTTTTTTGTCAGAGTTTATTTTCCTTTTTTTTTTTTGGCCTGGATTTTAAGGTTCTATTTAAGATTCTTTTCTAGCCTCTATAGCTCTCTTCCTCTTGAAACACAAGCTGCACAAAATACCAACACCATAACCTTCTATTTCCTCGTCTCCTTCTTCTTTAGCAGCATGTCCTTAGATCACATGAACATTACGGTGACAGTTTCGGCATGTATGGGCAGCGCTGGTGTCTTTTAAGCAGACACAACAAACACCAGAAGTGGGAGGCTCTTCTGTAACAATGACGTCACAGTCAGTTTGGTTGCATTCTCTTCAGTATTCTGTGTTGTAGTCTCTGTATGTGTAGTAGTCTCTGTATGTGTAGTAGGCTCTGTATGTGTAGTAGGCTCTGTATGTGTAGTAGGCTCTGTATGTGTAGTAGGCTCTGTATATGTAGTAGGCTCTGTATCTTACATCTGACGATTTGCTTCTTCCTGCCGTGTTGTTTTTAAGCTTTCTATTATTTTTTCGAGTTCTTCCTCATTCTGTATGGGTGCAGGGGGTAGGGAAGTCGTTGCGATGCCCACTTTAGCTTTGCAGCCAAACAGAGCTTCATAAGGCGTTCTCTAAATCTCAGAATATAAGGCCCTGTTCTTCATGAGTTGGATGAATCGTAATCCGGATTTCACACGTTGCCGTTAACATAGACATTTAAATATAGAAATTAGGTTGGCAGTATTTAAATAGTGCTACAAGACTATTTACTTTCCATTTCTTAAATGTTAAACATTTAACTGAACAGTTTAGGCTGCAAACTTCTCAATCACTCAATCACATTTTACATTATTTATCATATCGCTGTCAACTCATACAATCAAACTAAGTTAACGCCCTTGTGTTAAACTAAACAATTGCACTTGTATTTAAATAAATCACTGCTTAAGCAAACTAAACCATTGCCCCTGTGTTAAACTAAACCTTTTCCCCTGTGTTAAACTAAACCATTGCACCTGTGTTAAACTAAACCTTTTCCCCTGTTTTGAACTAAACCTTTTCCCCTGTGTTAAACTAAACCTTTTCCCCTGTGTTAAACTAAACCATTGCCCCTGTGTTAAACTAAACCATTGCCCCTGTGTTAAACTAAACCTTTTCCCCTGTGTTAAACTAAACCATTGCCCCTGTGTTAAACTAAACCATTGCCCCTGTGTTAAACTAAACCATTGCCCCTGTGTTAAACTAAACCATTACCCCTGTGTTAAACTAAACCATTGCCCCTGTGTTAAACGAAATAGATGTTCTTGTTTTAAACTAAGACTATGTCCTTAGTTTTTAACCGTTCATTGTTTGTTAAAACAACAACAACATAGGAAATAAACTCATTACCGAATAACTACTTTTTTGCTTCAATGATTTTACTCTATGGGGCGCATAAGTTAAACTTGCACAGGCTATTGTCGGGCCGCCCCTGCAGTATCGGCGATAGGGTCATCTTCATTTCCAGACCTGATTCGAATTCATTATTGATCACTAATTTTTTTACATTATTCAATATATTCCTCAACCATTTGCCTCGTAAAAAGTATATGCATTTCGATTAATAGGAAAATGATCTTTATCTTTTGAAGACAGCAGGACATTGTCATATTTGGTATTTTGAAATATCGAAGGATGGATGTTTGATTTACACTTCACATGTTTACGTTCATTTACTTTTAATTAATTCCCCCCCCCCCTGGGCCTTTCCTGTTGTATTCACCTTTAATTTCAAACTCAACCAATTTAGATATGAAGCGAATATAATATCAGTATACACTATTATTAGAGTTAATTTTTGATTCTTTTAAAATGTCATATTTTGTATTTTTAAATATCGAAGGATGGATTTTTGATTTACACTTCACATGTTTTCGTTCATTTACTTTTAATTAATTCCCCCCCCCCCCCTGGGCCTTTCCTGATGTATTCACCTTTAATTTCAAACTCAACCAATATAGATATGAAGCGAATATAATATCAGTGTACACTATTATTAGAGTTAATGTTTGATTCTTTTAAAATAAAAATAAAAATATTGTACATGCTACAAATGCGACTTAAAACTTTTTCTGTTTTTGGTTAAATCCTTGTCAGCTTTTTAAAATTCGTTGGCTTTGTGCAAGGTCAAAATTTCTGGACGGACATGTGGTTTTAAAATTATTTGATAGAGATAATTTTTTTAAGGAAAAAGACTAATCTGTAATTTTTCTTTTATGCACATTAACAATCCATGCTCCATTTATGAAAAAAAAAAAATCACAATGAATATTAAAACAGTTTTCCAAACTTTTCTAGGATTATCATGCGTATTTTTTCTTTACCGCCCCTCATATTTACACTTCATATAAAAAAATTTGAGAACCCCAACCAAAAATCAAGGTTTGAGGAATAGTAATTCATGAGTGAAAAATTGCATCATTTATATTGCTTTATAACCATATGATTTTTGTGTTTGTTTAAGGAGAATCCATTTATTCCTGAAATGTTAGATAGCTTTTATGATTACTCCTCACACAAGTAATACTATTTTTGAAGCTGTAAAACAAAAATATGGACGCTTCAACCAGCATACGAGGATGTCCAGAAAACCCTTTTTGTCACCTTTAAGCAATAAAACCTAGTCGTGAAAATGACATTGCACATGGCGCATTGTTAACAGTTTACACATTTGTTACGTTGTCATGTTGTAAAACAACAACACGTCTCACCTCGCGTTCTAATTTGTTTTGACACTGGTGCACTATAAAACAAGCTTCAAAATTCATGAAAATCGTAAAGCACTTCAACAGGCTGGAGGAGTTGGCTGCGTTTATGAATTGTTCCCAAGTGTTTTAGACGTATTCACAGCTGACATGAAAACTTTACTTGTTTTGATCGGCTTGGTATCATTTGTGGACGTTCAGGGCTTTGTACGCATTCATCTAATTGTTTCCAAATTTATCAAACTATTAAAAAAAATAATAATAATAATTTCAATAGACCTTATTTTACTACAAGGAACTCAGTTAAACATATAATTTAAAAAATATAACATCTCGAGTTGAAGATTTACTGGCGTGTCGAGAAATCTTAAGTCTTATTTTCTAATAAAAAGAAATACAGCACAAAAAAACAACAACACTACAACACCTAAAAATGGTTAAAATCATTATTGTCCACATAGTTGTATTTGTATGATTTACCTAATTTTAAATTAGTGTTTATAGAAGCATTTCATTAATTTTTAACAGGTAATGTTTTAAAGAACAATATTTATAGTAAATGGGGATATATTAGTTTACAATTGTTTAAATTCAGCCACGTTGGCTAAGCAATTCCTCAGCACAACTTTGTTATGCCAAAGATAACTTTCTTTACGTCTTAAATTTATTTGTGTTGGGATTTTCTTGATTGGTCAATTACATTTTGGCGGTTACCTATCTTCAAAACATTGATAACAACAAAATAAATAGCGATATTAACAATACCTGGTCATATGTGAACTTAAATAACCTCAAAATATTTTCTAGAATCTAGATCGCATGTCACCCAAGCTTCAATGAGTCTCCCAGCATTTTATAAACGCAAATTACTTGAGACCTACATACCATAAAAATTAATTAATTACAACGGGGAAATGCAATACATAGAAAAAAAGAAAAACAACAAAAAGTGGGAGCAATCGAAAATTACTCAAAATTTATTCAGAAGCAGGCAAAAAAAATATTAAAAAATTGTTTTTTCAGCCTACTATCCCAGAGAAGCCGTCTGTTGTATTATGTATGTATGTCATCTTTCCGTCTGCGGGAGACGATAGATTATCTTTATTGCTTGCAGCTCTTGGGGTGGCTGGTGAGATCAATCCTCGAATGGCAGTCTCTGTTACATTTCCAACACACGAATGCGGTGGAGAAGTATTTACCGGCCTTCCTCCTCGCTCTTTTTGCAGCTGTTTCTGCCCTGTTTTGCTCCTCGGCATGTAGTGATCCTGCCTTCACGATGCCCCGCCATGAGGATCGATCCTCTGCCAGCTCCTCCAATGATTGTTATATAAAAAAACATTTAACATAGCAATTTTTTACAGCCATAAAAGTAACGTATAACTTATAAATTTGTAGTGTCCATGGTGTCCATGGCGTCCCGGTCGGCCTATCCCTTCTAAACGTCAAGAAACTGACCCTTCAACTCAAGTTTATGACGTCATCACCGAAACGCTGACCAAGGCAAGGGCAGGTAATAACTCGGACCGCCTTTAGATTATTGATAACACGAATTATTAAACTCGATTCAGCACTACATTTATATGTGGCACGGACTTCTTTTTTTTAAAGAAATTAATTAAAATAATAGTAGGTTATATTTGTTTTGGAATGGAACAAAAGATTGATTAAAATATTATCAGAGTTTCAAAAATACTATAACATGTATGTTCTGATGGGTCTACAGGTATGAATTCAACCGATCTTATTGAGGCTGCAGAAACAGTTTCTTCTTTAGCTGACGCTAACAGGAAGGAAGGTGATTTATGTTTTTCTAGATTCTATATAAGGGATCATAAGGAGATGACCATAATCTTATTTTAAATGAGTTGATTTTTGTGAGTAGTGGGATCCCTCTTTAGATCTTACTTTTTCTTTTATATATACAACGTTTGAACTATTTTTATATGTAAGCAGTTTAATAATTTAATTAAAAAATGGTACACAGAATTCACACACACATCGCAAACATTAGTTTCAGATGAAGAGATTAATACCCTCATTAATGAAATCGCCTCAAGCTTTGATGGAGCAAATGCGGTGTCTGCATTATTTGATGGTAACTTGATTTTCATCTTCTCGCCAAAGTTTCTGTAAACATTTATTTTTAAATCTCAACTTTGTATTATAAAATATTAATTAGAATTTAAAAAAAACGATCATATGTGTCGCCAAAAAATTAATTTATATATATATATATATATATATATATAATTATATATATATATAAAATAACAGCATTTTACTTTTTTTAAAGGAATCTTTTTAGAAGGGGGACTTTACAACTGATGTAACTTCGATTTAATTTAAAATTATAACCTTCCTTTATATTATTCCCTCGTGTATTTAGAGATTTGAACGTTTAAGATTTTTTGCTTTTAACACTTTAACTTGAAAACGGAGTGAAATAGGCTCATTAAATATTCTTTTCTCTAAGATTTTGAAATATTAAAATACGAAGTTTATAGCAGATGCAGAAACGCACTGATAAGATTTGATATCTGATCTGTTCTTTGCTAAAATGTAATCGATGTTTAACATTCTTGAAAAAAAAGATGGCTCAATATTTGTCTTTTGATTCATGATGGTAAGATACTCTGAACTTTGAGAAGAGTAAGCTAGAATCTGCCTTCAGACTGTGGAGTGGACTTCTGGAGAAAGGGAAACAGCTGATAGGTGAGTCTCTATAGTTGCCTATTTGGATATTATGTCAAGATCTCGTCTTGGTGTAAGAAAATTCCATCTAAATTTTGGATGCAAATCTATAATTTTATTTTATTTTTAAATTTTGATGTTTTAAGAGTTTTCCAAACTTTTTAAAAAACTTCTTTGTTTGTCACTGGCTGGGTGGTTAAAGACCTAGTTACAAGTCTCTATCTGTGTGCAATTTTCCTTTATGAGATCTTAGTAACATACCTTTCTACGCCAAAAAAAAAATTGTAAACATATGGTTTTAGATATATGGATATTTAACTTTGCAATAATTATTTTCGGTTAATAATAGATGAAAATATTAAAGATGTTTAATTAACAATGTTTTAAAACTCTTCTTCTAAAAATTCGCATCTTTTGACGCAGTGGTCAGTGTTTGTGTTATGATTTGATTTGAGACCTAGCGATCAGTGTTTGTGTATCCCTAATTTTGTGACGAAGGGGGTCACTGTTTGTGTACTCAATTACTCTGGACTATGATGTCGATGTTGTTTGTGTTTGAATCTGCAGCCCAAGGCAAACCAGATGACGGCGTCCTTGGGGCTATCTCTAAGACAGCCAAGGCCATCACGACAATAATAAAGGACATAGGTATGAATTGTCACATTGAAGATAAACATTGTAACCCAATATTTTCCGCAATTTTGAGATATGTGAAAGTGTTTAAAAAATATTAGCGTGTCTTACAATAATGTTTTTTTTTTTTTTTATTTGATAACGTTTTTTGATTAAATCGTTAACAGGTGAAATCATCACTTATGTTGAACGTGTACAGCAATCTGGTAAGATGGATTCTTAACTTTAATTATTTTAATACAATGAAGTATTGTATGAACATTTTATTTTAATTTGTTTTACTTGATTTAAATAATAATAAGTCCGTTTAATTTCATGTACAATTTTAAACACATTATTAGCTAATTCTTTTCCTTGTTGTGGAATGTATATATTAAAGTGAATTTTCTTCTTTTATACTTTCATATCAGGTGAAATTGATTCAGCTGAGGTAAGAATGCGTTACAAAACTAATCAACACATTCGCTAATCTGCAAAAGAATAACATTTACCTAGCGTTAAGATCGATATCGTGACTTTTGTGATTTTAAGATGTCTCCTCGCGCGAAAAGCTCACTTATAAAACTTTTGCTGGCTGATCTCTCAAGGCCTGAGTCTTAACTTCAGGCTACTCCCACGATTCCATTATCCGTTTACCATGAGATAAAAATAAAGTTGATTTCTATTTTCTATTTCTATTTCCACGATAGACACATTTACATCATTAAAAAAAAATTGACAAAGCTTGAGACGATTTCGTTTAGAGAGTTGTTTAAAACTTTAGTTGGAATACCCTTTAAAATTACCAGAATAGTTCCCAATGGTGGTGGCTTGGAGTGAAGAGTAAGACTGTCGGAATCCTTAGAGAAAACTCTTTAAGACAACATTAACTGCCAATTGGAAAATGTTTAGCCAGGCGTTTACTGAAAAATGGATTTTGGATAAACTGTGGATAGTCATAAAATCATTTTAAGAAGCGGAATGATTTTCCACTGTAAAAAAAAAAGTAAAAAAAAAAACCAAAAAAATATTTTTAAAAATTAAAACGTAACTAAACCATTGTGTCTAAGAAATGGTGGTCCTAGCATCGTGTTCTAAAATACTGCTGTCAACTTTGGTTGACTTGAAGTTTATTATAATAAGGAATTAGGAAACATTGTCCAAAGTTTACAGAAGTCTAAAAACAATAATTATTACAAATAATAATAAGTAATAACTTTAATACAAATACGAATTTTATTGTACTATTTTTCATACAAATAAGTAATTTTTTTTATTTGTGGTATTTTAAATAAGTTCCAAGATAAGTAAAAAAAAATGTTATGCATTTAATTATTGCCTATAAATGTGAAATGTCTAACTATTTAAAAAAAAACACTACTTTATTTCTCTCACACAGAAACCAAAACAAAGAGGTGAGATATTTAAATAACTTAATTTAAAAAAAAATATTTTAAAAATTTTTTAAATAGCTCTTAGATTAACAGTGATTCCAAACAGGGAAGACTTCTCAACCCCCCGAAAGGGGGGTGGGGTGGGGAGGAGGAGGTGGATGGTTAGAAATATAAAACAATTTTCACTAATAATTTTACTTCTATTTTTAATTCAATATGATAGGCTGCTACATTCTTTTCGTAAAGATATTCAATTAATAATGAATGTATACTTAAGCTTCCACCAATTTTTATTAAATCTTCTAATCTCACCCTTTATTTAAACAGGGCACCTTAAGAAAATCAGCAAGGTCTCCAAGAATCTAAACACTCTTGGCAAACATTAATTGAACACCCTTTTATGTTTATCATCCTTACAGATCGCCGATTTGGTATAATTTTATCCGGCTCTATCAGAATCGGTGGTTAAAACATCGTTGAGAAAAGAGCTCTTACAATATGGCATTGGAAAAGTGAAAGCTTGTGACCGATTACAAAAAAATTATGAAACTTTCGAAATCAATTGTTTTTTCCCTTTGTTGTACGTTTGTATTTATTAAATATTTTAAAATTTGTTTGATTGGAGTGCGAAATGTAAAATATAATCAAATTTCAGGGTGATCACTGAGAGGGCTAACACTGATTAAAATGACTTGTCACCGTGTTCTTAATTTCTTTCTCATGCTATGTTTCGATAGATCATCCGCTTATCACATAAGCAATGCGTTCACAGATGAGGTTTTAATGTGTTGTAGTAGAGGAAGACATTTAAAGCTATATCTTTCAACAGCTCCTCGATATGTGTTAGCTATTTGTAATATGAATAATAGATATAAACATGATATCTATTTAAAATTTTAAAGAAAATTATAGCAAAAAATAACTGTGCACATATGCTCAGTTAAAATACTGTTGTTTAACATAATTGAAACAAAGCTGACAACATACTGAGTTATAATACGTTAAATTAAAACTATTGGAAATAACTATACATACGCATACCTTTATTGATCTCTTACTTTTAGTTTATGGCTCGTTCTAAACAGTGCATAACAAAGGACGACACCATATGAGACAAACAATAAGAAAAATACGACACTCAAAACAGTAATAATTACAATTAATAAGGTTTATTTAGTTATCTATATAATTACAAAATTTTAAAAAAATATTATTGAAAATCATCATCTTACAGAGTATGGTAGGTCTTGTATCGGTATACAGTTAGTACAATGTGCCAAAAATAGGCACAATAATGAATATAAATTAACACATATATGTTAACACAAAATAACTCACTATTGTCTTTTGAAGTAAAAATCTCATTCTCTCAATATTGCATGCAGTCTTTGCTTTCATAGTCGGTTCTACCAAAAATCCGAGGCGTGTTCGGGATTGTACTTGTAACTAGAACATTCCACAATTTACTATAATTTTCTAAAGCCTTCGACTCAACCAAAACAGGCGATAGCTTAATTTGTGGTTAACAAGATCAAAAGGAATAAGCCACGCCCAATACGAACGCAGCGTCTGCTAGAAATCTCATCACGGGGGAAATAGGACGTAAAATGTCCTACATAACAATATATACGATCTCTTTTTATGTCAACTATTACCAACATGATTTTGACATTTTTAAAGGAACAAGTAATGGATTTTATATTTTATTTTTCTAATTTATTTGGAGAAAAACATATTTTGTTTATTAAACCTTTTTGCCCCCCCCCCCCAACAACTTCATTAACAGTTTTTTTTTTTTTTTCTTTTTTTTTTTTTGTTTTTTTTTTTTTTTTTTTTTTGTTGTGTAAATTGATTATTTTAAGGAGACAACAACAATCACTAAAAAAAAATTGAAACATAAGAAATAAATTTTAAAAAATGGCTTCAGGTTAAGCATATGTAACACCGGACATGTTAAATTGCATTAGATCACATCCTCCTAATTATTATTATTATAAATTGTGTTTTTGCTGGCAACCGTCCGTCACAATGTGATAAGGGTGAAGACTTTGTAGGAAAAATCCACAAGGCCTGGGATTATTCTTTATAGGCTCATATCTGGTTCCCTACGCAGCATATTGCATTTCTCCACGCCGCTGTGCATGATATACTTTGGCCCTAGTGGCGTCGCAGGAGTTGTCGGAATATTTCATTGTACCATCTCCGGGTTTGAATTCAGAATTTCTTCTCTTAGATGAGCCGCCATCCAAGATTGACAAGTCCGTTCCACTGGGCTTTGTTGGGTTTGAAATTCAAACTATCAACTTGAGATCTGCTCAGTTGAGACCACACGGACACCCAGCAACCTAATTAAAATAGCGTAATCTCCCAAATCGTAACAATTTTAAATCAAGTTATCTTCATTCGTTTTTCGGCCACAATTATTGGATTTCCTGTAGAAGGCCTCAAAGTGATTTAAAGAAGCAACACCAAGATTTATACATACGGTAAATGGTATGTCCAACAATTTCAAATGAATTACCCAATACAAAAAATGGTTATCAATTAAATTATTATTAAAAATGGTTTTTGTTTTTACATGAGCTGCAATTTGAATATAAAAAAATGAAGGTGGTCGAGCACACGAGATTTATGAGTTTTGGCTAGGCCAATTATGATTGTGTTTTTCTTCAAAACATGGTATCCTTGATGAATGCTACGTAACTAATTGTTCATCTACTTAGCTTAATAAGTCTTATTTAGAAAACTTTTGAACGAAATTGCATTTAATGTGCAAGATGAAAACATAGCCTATTTCTTTTTTTATTTGGTACACAAATAGTAAAAACATAAACAAAAATTAAACAAAATTATTCATGATGATTTACTTGCGAATCATCACCTGTCATAAATCGACCCTGCCACTATCCACCGGACATAGATCTACTCTGCCACTATCCACCGGACATAGATCTACCCTGCCACTATTTACCGGACATAGATCTACCCTGCCACTATTTACCGGACATAGATCTACCCTGCCACTATTTACCGGACATAGATCTACCCTGCCACTATTTACCGGACATAGATCTACCCTGCCACTATTTACCGGACATAGATCTACCCTGCCACTATTTACCGGACATAGATCTACCCTGCCACTATTTACCGGACATAGATCTACCCTGCCACTATTTACCGGACATAGATCTACCCTACCACTCTCAGTCAGTTTTTCGTATTACACGCACATGTAAATTGTATTGCAGCGTTTGATTGATGTATGTTTAATAGATTTATTTATTTTAAATTGAGACCCAAACGGTTTCCTCTGGTTTTGAGTGAGGGATGCTATTTACTGACTATTATGTTTAGCATGTTATGTCAATGTATGTGTTTCAATTATTTTTTAAATTAATAAAAATGTTTAAAACTCAACAAAACCGAGCTTAAAATATCATGAATTAATCTTTTTAACTTAAAAAAAACCATTGGGGTGCTTTCGTATTTACGATTTAAATTTGAAATATGTTAAAGTACATAAATGTTATCATTAAAAAAATTGGAAAATTATTTTTGCTTTAGTAACCCTTTCATATCCAATATACATTTCATGGCCATGACCTGAACGAATTTAAAAAGGAAAAATACTTTAACGGTCTTAAAATTAAAATAAAGAGATACTTGCGTTCGTTTTAATTTTTGTTACTATATTAAATACGTTTATTTTATGGTTATAATTTTTTTTTAAAGTGATCTAGTTTTACTTTAAATTTCAAGTCTATTTATAAACCATTCGAGCATTCGTGTTCCGGCTACAATGTCATTTCATATTAATACACCACTGAAACAGGATTTAACTTGTTTATACAGGAAACGGCTTTTAGTGGTGAAGGTCATTTAACATGTATAATAATCTTAGAGCAGGAATCAATAGACAGTACACATTTGGCGTTCTACCAGTAACAGCTGGGGAATACAGACAGTTAATCTTTTAACTTTTGTAACCGATGTTGGAGGTAAAAGATATTTTTATTTTGGTGTTCTGACAATCTAGACTTTAGTGTCTTTGTTATTTTATATGATTATCTATTATCTGCATCAATAAAGATAAAAATATAAAAAATTCACATTCATATCAGCTTTGAAACTTTGGTAACTAAAGATCATTCTATATGAGAGCTGTAAAATATTATTAGTCGGCGCACAATATTGGCGTGACTTTCGGAGGCCCCTTGTCGTTTCAATGCACGGTTGCACCTGCATTTAAATTGATATTTGTTTTGTTTTCCATTTCACAGCTGTGGCCCTTTAAAAGATCACAGTTTCCTTGCATATTCAAAGATGGCATGTTTTACTTTCTGTTTCTATCTCTTGTTCATCAAAAGTGTTAACCTCAATAAAACGTTAGTTTAATTTTGAAGATTAAAATATGCTGCTGTCAGAGAATATACTGAATATTCAAACGACGTGTTTGGTAATAACAACTTATCACGTATCGGTTAATCCTAAGACTTTCTTAAGAGATTTAATGACGATTTTTAGTAAGTTCAGACGGTCAATTTATTATATTTTAAAAAAAAATTGCTTAGGATATTAACTAATCAAGGAATGTTTATATTTCTTTTTTTAATTAATTACATCTTATAGAAAGCAAGACAATTTTAGAATAATTTTTTAATATAATTATTTCCTTTAAATTTAGATTCTGACTTTAATTAAGCTTTAAAAAATAATAAATATACATACTAAAAAGATAAAATTATTTTGCTAACAAAATAAATATAATAAAAATACAGAAAATGATAACAATTTAAAACAAAGACAACAATAAAAAGGGACACGATACATGGTATTGGGGATAATCTATCAGTTGCATATTATGTTACTAAGCGTTGATTCCTATCGATTTTGATCTACTTCAAAACACAAAATATATTGACTTACCCTATACTTTCTTGCTCTCTTTCAAATAGCATAACGTACGCAAGGTCCAGGAAATCAAAAGTTTTTTTTTTATAGGGATATTTAGTACATCAAGTATTGATCCGAAGTCTGATGACTTTTGGTGCACTATACATATAATCTTACATATCTTTAGCACTGTTTCGTTACACCGAAATGTGACGATTCGCTCACGTAATTTTGGAAGCACCATTTTGCCACTGGCAAAAACGGCCGACAGCAATTTTGTCGACGTTGATAAAGAAATTATATTTACAAATGTTATACTTTAAATACACAAGGGACTATACATATATTTCAGTTTTAGGAAAAATACATCCTAATAAGACGTCAAAGTTTGCTGGGTTATTATATTTTTTTGTGCGGTGTTTTTGTAAGTTCCACATCAGCGCTTACGTTGATGTTTATGTGAATAATTTGTAAAAAAAATTTTGTTGGAACTTTAAAAGGGATATCTGACAAAGCCCTCATTCACAAGCCCCCCCCCCTATCCCCACAAAAGCCCAGGACACAGTTGATACATTCGAAAAACAAGGCAAATATCATGTTTTAATAAGAGCATTAACATCAAGCTTAAGATTCTTTTAGAAATCATTCATACTATAAAGTGATTTTATTTCACGACAAAAGCTATGCATCAATGTGAATTGTTAACGACCGCTGGCAATACCATTTAAGAGTTGAATCAAAGAGCCTTTTGGGGCCCCTCTGCGCCATCTCAACGCCTCTGAAAGGGGTGGTGTCGCCCATTTTGGGAACCACTTCTTTGAAGGAACGACTTCGCGGAAATAATATTTATCTTAAATAATTTGATTTATTTAGTTATTTCACTGAAAATAGTTAATGTACTAAATATATTTTTAACAATAAAGTAATACTTTTAAAATATGCTTAAGTCTATTTCCTTCAGGCCCACAAATGTTTTAATTATGTCATCACCCATGAGGTCATTGTTTTCCCAAATAATCATATTAACCTTTATATCCCTAAATTTTGTAAAAGGTTTTTTTTCTTTTAAACTAAAAAGTCCATGCTATACTTAGCAATGACCGATATGTATAAGCATGAGATTGCATGGTATTGGCTAAACAGTTATTAGTTAAAGAAAAGAAAACTGGTTCAATTTTGCGTTCTACACTTTAAAAGATTTGATTCAAGCAAGATTTAAAATTAAGTTCATAATGAAAGAAATTAAGAAATTAATTATATTCACTTATTTTTTAGATTTCTTAGAATTTATTTTGTTTTTCTTTTTAAAGTATGCATACTTTTTAAATGATTATATTTTCAGTATTTCTAAAGATACGCAGATGTCTTCTTTTGACTTTGACAACGCGTTGGATATGTTACTCATAGGTAGAAGTGGGGGAGGGAAGAGTGCAGCTGGGAATACGATTCTTGGAAGGGAAACTTTTGAAATGTCCCCAGACGTACAGTCCATGACAGAAAAAGCGGCCTTTGACTTTTGTGAATTCGAAGGTAACCATCTGAAAATTGTTGACTGTCCGGGGCTTGGAGATACCAGACTTAATTATAAAGAGGATGAGACACAACTCGCTACTGCATTGCATGTTGCTATGGCGTACAATCCAAAAGGATATCATGCCATTCTATATGTCATCAAGTTCGAAGACAAATTTACCAATGTAGATGAAAAAACACTGTCAATCCTGAAAGGGCTACTGGGAGAACACTTTATAAAAAATCATTGCATTCTTATTATGACTCGCGGGGATTGTTTTGAGACGAATCCAACGATCAAAAAATCAAAGCTCTCTTTTGATGAATGGATACAGAGGCAAACCAATGAAAATTTTAGAACGCTTTTAGAAGAATGTCAGCACAGAGTGGTCCTTTTCGACAATAGAACAGAAGATCCAGAGAAGAGAAAATCCCAAAAACGGAAATTGGTTCAATTTGTCCGTGGCTTAGCCTGTAAGGGACAACGTTATACCAACGAAGATTTTATAAAAGTGAAAAAAATGCGGAAAGAATTAATAAAAAGCAAGAACAATGAACAGGAGCTGCAAGTTATTGTTGATCAAGTTGGTATATACAGTTCTAAAGTAGCAAATGCATCTTGTGATAAAGAAGGTGCAAGGGCCCTGGAGATGGTATCCAAAGAGATTGATAACTTGTATAGTTACGCTAAAAACGCGTCGATGAACAATAAGATGATATCAAAACAAATGGGTTTAGTTCTAGATCTCCAAGAGGCTTTGCAGAAAAAGCAAAAACAAATAGGTAACATACTAGATTCCAACAACGACGTTCTGAAGGAGAAGATAGCAAAGTTGGAGTATGAACTAGCTAAATCCCAACAATTCCAGACCCAGAAACTTTCTAGGGAAGACAGCAACAGTATCAAGGAAAAAGAACAAGAACTGAAGAAAAGGGAAAGTGAAATTCAGAAACTTGAGAGAGAGAGTATAATTTTACGGGAGAAAGAAATGGCTGACACCAAGAAGAAACTGGATGAGCTGGAGTCGAGATATTTGCAAGCGAAAAAAAGTGAGAGCTCCAAGAGCCTTATCGAGCCAATTCTTGACTATGCAGCATCTGTTCTTCCAGTAGCCGGCGTAGTGTCTGGGATATACAAGTGGTGGACCAAATAGAAAATACTTTGGAGAAAGATGAGCTTTAAAATATGAATTTGAAATGAACATGTTCTAAAAAAATATTTAAAAATTTTTTATGATCTTTGTTTTTATGTAATAAATGTACATTTGAGTTAATTTTTAAAATTGTTGAAAATTCTTGTTCATGTTTCAAACTAGAAATTATTATGAATTTTTTTCTTTTTTAAAAAATTTATTTGGTTATTTTATAATTTTAAATTTTTTAAACAAAATTTACATTACATCGTGAAGTTTTTAGTCTCTGAAAATTAAATGCGACTTTGAAATAATTTTTACTACCATTTTAATGATGACTTATATATATATATATATTTGTATAGTGTAAAAAGTTAGATAAGATGTGGTTGCTTTTAAAACATTTAAGCAATTTTTCTTGTATATGCTTAATGTTTTATGATGATTACATGTGTACTCATTTTTTTAAAAAAAGTTTGAAATAAACTTTTATAATAAAATATAAGATAAACAAACGCTAGTGTATTTACCAATATCCTTCTATGCTTTTGATTGATTTATCTAATGTTTGTTTAATGATTACAGTCAATTATAAATATTATATTCAAACATATATTATACATACTTTTTGTAAGTCAATAAAAACAAAAACAATTTTGAAATTTCTGGTTAAAAATAAGTTTTCATCTTAATTTATTCTGGGTAAAATGACTTGATATTATGAAGAAATAACCGTTAACTTAAAAATGAAATGGAATAAAAACGATGAAAGTGCACATTGTAATTTTAATAAATTCCTTTTAGGTGAAAATTGGCTAGATGATCAGGATTTAAGTCCTTTAGAAATATGAAATACATGCATCACTTTAGTTCCAATTTTAATAGTGTATCCATAATTTGAATGTATCACAAGTTCACCTCCTTCATGGCTCAGTTTGATTACCAACCAAAGTTTTTATTTTTGAGAAATGCGACACAATAGAGTCAATAGACCTTAATTGTTTGGGTGGAGAAAAAAAAAAGTTTTCCAACCTCATTTGATAATTAGCCAACGAATAGCGTCGAAAAAAGCAGGATTCGAACGCAGATGCCCTGATCGATCCCAATGAAATATACAATGTAACTCAAACACTTGGGGAAAAAAAAGACATTATTAATTTGACAAGACCTGGTGGGCACATGAAACTTCCTAGCAATGCCACAAATGATTGTGTATGTCCGAAATCAGTTTTATCAGTACATTTACCATAAAGGTATTACGACATCCAAAAAAAAAAAAAAAGCTTAAACCCAAGCACTAGAGATACGCCCGAAACATAGACACTACTTCACGATCTGGATACTGCCGCTAAGCTTTTTAAGATATTAAGGAAAGTAGAAAATTAAAATAGCTATTATTGATGATTTTCTACTTTCTATTTTCTAATTTCTAAAATAGCTATTATTGATGGAAATGATTAGTTACCCTAGGGCAAACCATTAATGAAAGACACAAACAAACGCTGTGTAATTAAAAGGCTAAGAAAAAACAAACTCATTGTATGCGCATCTCAACGAATATACCTTTTTATCACTCTCTATTAAAAAAGGAACAACATTACTATATTCAATGAAGTTGTCAATAGTTTTTTTTTAAATTGTTATTTTTCAATAAACAGAATAATAAAGCTGCAGTAATAAATCAGTTAGTAATTCCCCACGTTTTTAACGTCATAAGCTACCGTTTAGACATGATACTGACGATGATATGCTTCTAACAGTCAAGGGTTACGATTCGAGAGTTGGCTCAGTCAGGGACGGCTAGCAAAATGTTCAAGAAAGTGACAACTAAATAGCACACCGCGATCGGTGTACGGTGACAACGTTGTTACGCATGACTTGATACTGCGTAATTGATGCCATTGTTCAGGGAATAGACATAAAATATGGAAATAGCAAGTTCAGCACTTATTGGAACACAAATCCCTTAGAGCGAAACTTTCTTTAATATAGCAGGAGAACGTTACAAGTGGGCTAAAAATTTTCAAAAAATAGCAACCGTCACATTCAAAGTTCGAGAAAAATTTCGATTAGATGACTAAACAGTTGGGAAATTACGGTATGCATTCAATGCTAGAGCTAAATACAACTATAATGGAGCCGCTACATACTGATATCCATCCCCTGCAAAAAAAAACATATGTCTGTTTATAATAGATGAAAACATACGCAGATCGATCAAAGAAGTTGGTATTTTAAAAATTCAACTAGTATTGTTGCTCTGTATTGACCTTGTGTTAAGATGGGTAAATAGTAACGACCCATGAAGTTAAGTTGCACCAGAAGATCCATTATCCCACATATGTCCGGATATTTTATGCCCATGACACGTCTAAGCTTGTATCGAAGAAGACGCCTAGCTGTTCGAGGTGAGGAATTGCACACTTCAGCCCCTCCCTTCTCTCTGGATTTGAAAATGCGGTTTATGCCCTATATTTCTACAGTTTAAATAATAAACCAGTATATTTCCAACTATTTCCTGTTGATTACATACCCTTTAGACATGCACCCCTTTGAGACGCAGTAAGCAATTTGGCTAGAATGCCAGGCGTTAAACACTTTTTTTTTAAGAAACACAAATTGCAACAAATGTAAGAGCGAAATGAACAGTGACACAACATCAGAGGCGTCGGGTGGGGCATGCATCCCTGCAGCTGCAAAGGGGGAGGGGGGCTTGAGAAAAATAAGAGTCTACCAGTTGTGAGTGCTTGACACGATAAAAATTCCAACAACTCTAGCGAATTAGAACTCGTAAAAGCACAGTGAGATACATGAAATACTGCTGTTAATTCACTGCATCCTGGTCTTTTTCCAGTCGTCTTGACTAAGTTTTGCCATTGGAACAAATAGACTAGGGCGACAGAGTGAGGTCGACAGGTTGAGCAATTCCCCCTCACTTAAAAACAAAACACAGTACAAATCAATTGTACTACTCAAGTCGATGCCTTGGTCATCTTCACATGAGAAGGATGGCATATATATATACCTGCAAGTGGAGACAACATTTAAAAGAAAGTATATTAAATCCATTAAATAGCTAAATAAACAAGAACACAAATTGGCAAAGGGACTTTAAAAGAACGTGACATATTTCATTAAATTTTCATAAATAAATTTAAAAAAACACATTTTTTTTCAAGATTTATGTGATTTTTTTCTATGAATGCCAATAGGAAAAAGTGTGTACGAGTTTTAAAAAAAAATTGAACTCAGTCTTTATTTTAAAAAAAACGTTCGGATGATACGTACCTCCCACTTCATCACGGACATCTAAGACCAGCTCGATAAGGGCGAATTCTTTCTCTTTAAGTTAGATAAGATATAAAAAGTATTTTGCTCCCTAGACTGTACGAATGTACCAGAGTGCTTCCCACCCAGGTTACCAAATCTAAAGGATCATAAATTAAGTCATTATTGTTACTAAGGAGTTCATTGAGGGCCTATTTCTACGTTAGAGAAGTACTTTAGTGGCTTGTGTTTACATTTTTTTACTGCAATAAAAAAACATTTCCAATGATTGGAAACAACAAAGAATTGTGTCTTTTCTAATGAATAAAACATATTGAAGTTATTCTTTATGTCCCTAAAATATGTGGATTCATCTGATAACAAGGTACATTAAAACGAATTATTAATCATGATGGAAAATATCCTTCGCAATCTATTCAGTTTTAAGTTGACATGCAATAGATACGCCGTGAAGATGTCTATTAATTATGTTATTCAGTATTTAAGCTAAATACTATCGTCTCAAGTGTGGTGCCGATGGAATAAAAGGATTCATTGACGGTGGTCTAGGTGATCCTGAGCTGATCCTCGTTGTTAGCAATTGCTTGAGCAACCAATTAATTTTTATTTTGTGTTTTCTCATTCGTCTTCTTCCTTATGTGCGGATTGCTTCTCTGTTGATTTTAAAAAAAAAATAACGAAGTATTTGCCTTCTTTTTGTGACAAATAAAATAACTTTTGTTTAAGGTACAAATGGTGGCTGAAATTGTTTTAGGTACCATATTTTGCCAAGTATGTATTCGAAAACTAAACGCTTGAAACAAGTAATATCTTCACGATCTCGATTTCAAATAGCACTTGGAGTATCAAAGAGGATTTGAAAAGTTCCTTTGTGTTAATTTTCTCCAAACACCATATCAATTGTTATGATATCCTTAAAGCACACTACAGTCCTTTCAAAGTTATCTTTACCAGATTTTCTTTTCTTAATTAGAAAAAAAATTATATTTTTTGGTATCATTCGAGTCCAGTTCGATTGTTAAAACAATTGATTTTCTTTATTATTCAAGTTAAGGTTTAACAATAACTAAACATGGTCTACTTTTAATCAGCAATGATAAAGAGTCAAAAGTACATCGAGTTGCAAAATAAGTTGCTAAAAATAATGTTAAGAGCGAAATTAAAATGCAAGGTACTTGGTAAACAAACAAGAGAAAAGACTGCTCAAAATAAGGCAAATCCATTATTAAATTCGCAAAATGGGCAAAGCATTGTCGACTTTATAGTAAATGAATTGGGCCAGTAAAAATTTAAATAGCTATTGGTACATTTTTTGTCAGGGTAAGAGAAAAATACCGAGTAACCTCGTACAGGGTTTACATTATGATTGGCTCCTTTGTTGTCTATAATATGCGTGAATGCATTTATCACTTATTCTTATACGACACAACTACAGAATCCGATCGACAGGCTGATGGAAAGAGGGACAATTAGCCGTCCGAGGATCCTTCGAGTCAGCCGGCCACCCACGAACAAAAGCAAATTTAATTAATTGAATTTTATTTGTAAAAAAACATCATTTTTAAATTAAGCCAATATTTCAACGTGCATAAATGTTTGCACTTGATTAATAAAAAACTTGAAGTGGATGCTTGGGATTAAATTCCCCTTTCATAGAGAGCTGTGTTACGCATGTGTTTGATGAAATGTGAAGTAGCGCCTGATATAAATATAAATATAAATAAATATTAATGTATATATAACTATATTTAAGGATTAAAGTTTAAACTGCCAACAGAAACGGTCTTGGGTTCAATACAGTGTGACTATGACGTATGAACGTTTTGAGAAAATTTGACAATGGTAACCAACCACATACTGATTTTGACAGAGCCCTCTGCCATGACTACACTGTTTACTGTTCCTGATTATTATTTGCTGAAGGTTGCTGTTTGCACACAATTTTAAGTTACCCTTGGTCACATATGAAATATCCAACAAGTTTTTTTGTTTGTGATTTCTTGTTTCTACTTTGACCGCACGTATCCAGCCTGTGCACGTAGCTGGGAGCACGTTTGTTTTGAACATTGTATAACCCTTTATTTTGTAAAAAGTGAGGGGGAAAAAAAGTAAACCAGTTTGCGAAGTGGATCTATTCAAAGTTGTCACAAGTTCTTGAAATATCCAGCTGAAGTGAATTTCAATGAAGCACGGCTTGGCTTGTTTTGTAGGGTTAATACAAAAAAAAATTAACACTAAAACCTGTCAAGCATAACTGAACTTGCTTAAATGCCAAGGTCTTTAATTCAAACCGTAGCTTAAGATAAGACCGTATAGTGCTGTTCTTGCCTTGAAATCCCTCGTGAGATTGCTTTTCAATAAACAGCATTTCATACACTGACCTCCTACCACCCGTAACGCAAATGGGCCCAGAAATAGAATGCGTTGAGAAGATGATTCGAAGTAATACATTGGCTCAACGGGGTGGTAATTTTTTAAAAGAAAAGTCCAATTCAAGGACCGATCTCCTGTTCAATAAAATAATTTTAACTATTTTATTTAGAGTACAGCTGCCAAGGTCAGCGTGAATGGATTTTAATGACAGGCCCCAACACGAAAAGCAATACTTCAAGACTCGGAGCTTTTCAGCTAATCCTTGTCTTTTTAGCAAATTTGTAAGGGAAGAATTCGATTTCAATAGATTCTATGCATAGGGTGGTTTTGGGCTGGGGTGAAATGTAATCCTTTTAACCTGACATTATATAAAGGTTATTATATGAAATATAGGTTTAATCCAGATTGAGTTTAGCCGCTTAGCAACAACAACAACAACATAAAAGACATACCAAGTATTCGTTTTAGAAGAGGTGACTCATATATTTTTCAAAGATATTTCTTTTTTTTAACTGAATACAATTTTTTTCCCCAAAGCCGCTTGACGAATTCAATTAAATAAGCAGCTAACATGTCCTGGCGCGTTATATGAGTCTTTTTTTCCCAAGGAGACATAACATACATATTTATTTGATTCTTAACACGTGTCTTTTTCAAACATGATTTAGCAAGTGCAACCAAGAAGTTTAGTCAGGCGAAAAGTCATAGTGATCTTGTAAGAACAGCAGATTAAAAAAAAATGGACACAAATCCCAGGTAAGTAACAACAGTTTACACGTTTCGAGCATTTTCAGACGCCGTGCTTAAAGAAGGGAGGGTATGTTATAGTCAAGAAAAACAAAATAATTTTAAATCATTTTAATTTCCGTTGTGTTTGAAAAACAGAAATCATTATAAAAGTATTTCCAGTAATTCACCGTGTTCAAACTTAAAGAGACATTTTTGGTGTTTTGTTTTTAGATTTAAAACGCTATTGTAAACAAAACTTAGTACGTGTTTTATACCAATGTTCATTGACGATTGAAGATCATGAGAATTGCATATTAATTTAAATGTATTCCTACTAACCAACGTCCGTTTTAATTCCATTACTTTATCATCGAATGCAGAGGATAGCAACAACACTTTGCCCACAGGTCGCTTGATAAAAAAAAATTGTGAGTTCATTGTGCCTTGATTAATATTAGGTAAGGCTTAGAATTATTTTTTGTATTTATTATTTACACTTACTTACGGAAAAACATGTTTAAAATTTAAATTTTTAAAAATCAATAAATGCAATCATTATTTTTTTTAAAACAAATTATCAGTGGATTTAAAAAAAATATATATAATGTCAATTTACATTTTTCCCAACTTCATTTTCGCATTTTTAAGCAACATTGTGTCATATATTTACATTAAATGTTTCCCCGAGGTGATTTATAAAGATTAAACTAAATTATTTATAAAAAAAAGTTTTTTTATATTCATTTTTAGGCCCAGGATGGCTTTCTTTGACTTTGAAAACTCGCTGGACATGCTTTTGATTGGAAGAGCAGGAAATGGGAAAAGCTCAACGGGCAATAAATTTCTCGGGAGAGAAACCTTTTTATCATCAAGCGATACACAGTCGACCACGGTGCAAGCACAATTTGATTTCTGTGAGTTTGAAGGAAACGTGCTCAAAGTAGTCGACTGCCCTGGGCTTGGAGACACCAGGGTTGGTGTGGAAGATGACGCGAAACAGCTGGTAGATGCATTACGAACCGCGATCGCGAACAACCCGAAAGGTTTCCACGCAATACTTTACATCGTTAGGTTCAAGCCTTGCAAACCCTCAAAGTTGTGGTGGGTGAAGATTTTGTAACGAATCATTGTGTCCTCGTGATGACCGGTGGGGATTGCTTCGAGACCGATCCGATGATTAAAAAAGCTGGCCTTTCTTTTGGTGACTGGGTAAAGAGACAACAAAATGAGTTTTTTCAAAGCGTCGTTCCCGAATGTCAACGCAGGATAATTCTGTTCAACAACAGGACGGATGATGTCGAAAAAGAACGAATTCAAATGAGACAGCTCGTTGGGCTTATTCGCAGTCTGGCTTCAAAAGGCAAGCGCTATACAAATAGAGATTTTGAAAAGGTGGAAGAGAAACGAGTTGGTTTTTTACGCAATCTGCATCATGAGCAGGAAAATCAAGACATCATCAATAGAATTGGGATTTTAAGTTCGAGATTGAAAAATGCACCGTCCAATGAAGAAGGTGCTGGCTTGATGCAGGCAGTAAGCGATGAAATTGAAACATTGAATAACGTTGCAAATGTAGCTCTCGAAAAAAATTCAAGAGTGCAGAACTCCATTAAGCTTTTTCCTTGTATCCGCGAGGCGTTGCAAGCGAAACGAAAAGAGGTTGATAACATCATAGCTTACAACAAGAAGGTGTTGAACTGGAAAACCATCAGCAGAGAAAAAGGGGAATCGGCAAAACCCTTAGCGATGGCTACACCCACGAATTCCCTGAAAGTTGAAGAAAAAAATCAAGAAGTAGAAAAAGAGGAAAAGTTTCAAGCATTGCTGGGAGAGGAAACGAGGATTAAAATTGAAGAGCTCGACAAGCAATACCTGCAAATTAAAACCGTAAGTGATTTTAACAGAATCATGGTACATCAGGTCAACACAACTGAAAACCAAAGTAAGGGGACAAGTTATTTTTCTAAGTTTTCAACCTGGGTGTATAAATAAGATTAATATATATTAACGCTCTTGAAAGTTTGCTGTAAATCTTTTATCTTTTAACTTGTCAAATCATATTGTTAAGTTTTTGAGTTGACGATCATCGGGGTAGGTGATAGGTATTGATTGTACATTAACATTGTTTTGTTTTTTTAAATTTAAATATTCAAGGATGGTAATTTATAAAGGATTTTTAAAGGGACAGGGGTCGCGACAGGCTGAGCCTATCACACCGACGACTGGGACCATATGTCCGGTCGGAGAATTAATGTTTTAATTTTAAAATGAACTTTAGGACGATATTGCATATAAAACTAACTAATTAACAATATTGTTTCAGTTGTACATTAGCAATTTTATTGTAAAAAAAAATATGTATAATATTTAAAGTTACGTATCTAACCACGTTGTTTCAATAAATTACTTGTCATTTATATATTACATATATATAATCTTCATAACTTTATTATGAGTTGTGCCTATACTTTGAATGCATCATCAGTGCTTCTAACTTTTAGCTAGATTACATATTTATTTAGATGTTGACTCACACAAAATAAACTATGAATTATATATTGTAAACTATGAGTTTTCTGGTTTTTTTGCTGAGCTAATTTGTGGAAAATACTTTTTTTGTGTTTTTTGCTGGCATCCATCATTCTACAAGGACTGGGTATAATTTTCAAGGATTCTGGCTCACAACTTCAAATCGCCTCTCTTCAAGCCGCTCAACAACCCAAGCTGCAGCATATTGATGATACGGCTAGGCACCAGTGGCGGCGCAGGAGTTGTCGGAATGTTTCATTGTACCAATGTTATCAGCCTACGGAACTCAATCTCCGGGTTTGAATTCAGAGTTGCCTTCTCTTAGTTGACGGGTCCCATTGATGCTTTTGCTTGACTGGGCTTTGGCTGGAATTGAGCTCCAGACCACCATCTGGAGATTCGCTCAGTTTAGCAAGGTAGAAATGACTATAGAATGCAGTTATTGTAAAAATGTCATCATTTGTTTAAAGGTGACGAAATAAAGGCTTGAAGCATAAACGTGAACATGAACAAGAGTAACAAAAATGTGTGTCATGCATAAAACGTCTATTTAGTAACAATACCGAAACAAATTATTTTTCCTTTGCACGCAATGGGTAACACAAATCAGCATTTTAAATATAAATAATAATCACAATTGAAATCCTTTTTAATTTAATACGATACAACAAAATAGTAAACAATTACGATTACAAAGGCATAACTTAAATATATTTATATTGTTATAAATATTAATCAAATGCAAACGTATTTCAAGTTTTAATTAAATGTGTGAAAAAGTTAATGATCTACCGAATTGCTTAGTATTGAAATTCATTTCTAATTTTAGCCAATGAGTAAGTCAATTTATGATATCTAAAATGAGTGTTTTTGGACAGAATTAACTGTAAACCTGTAACCAGTAAGCACACTGGGTTTAAATTGTATAAAATATAGCTTTAGTTTTATGTTTAAAAAGTGTGGAACACATTTTATATTTTTTTTAAAGATTGTTTAAAATTATTTTTTTAACTGGAGTATTAAAATTGTGACGCTTCCACCAATGACCAATGTAATGTACGAAAGTTTAAAACAAACCAACAAGTAGTATTCCAACTCATTTAATAACCTATTTTTAAAATACCTGCTGAGACATAATGAGCTTCAAAAGTGTTAATCAGCACCATGTTTTTATTATTAGCACGCGTCTGGTGCAAGATGAAGCAATTGTATACGTTAAATATAGCTTAGATTTATAAAAATCATACCAAGCTACTTCCCGGTACAAGCAAATGGGATGACGGGACATCACAATGATCTGAAATTAAGCTGTTTCACATGAATTTTACTTTAATAAGCATAACTAGTATGATATTTCCCTCTCAAACTTCAAACTAAAATGGTATATTTATTATGTTTAGACTGTTGATAAAATAATAAATTATCTTAATTTAAGTTATCCAGAAATGAAATAAAAAGCATAAATTATAATTTTTGCAGTAATAGATATTTTTTTAAAAACCAAAACTAGCAGATAAGCGTGTAACAAGACATTTATTTAAGGAACCCAAAGGTCACTTCCGTTAAATAGCTGGCCCAAAAGATGACCATGTCACTTTGCGGTTATAAAACTCACTTCAGAGGCTGTCATGTTCTATACTAGAGATAAAAATTCTTTCTTCTATATCTTAAGGGCCCACGATCAATTTATTGATCATTTTGGCTCCTATGCATGTAGATGGGATATGCAATGTTTCTGTTTCTGGTGTTGATGAGGAAATTTCACTGATTTCCAGTGCCATTTTGTGAGGGAATCATCATGTCACATTTCTTTTTTATGCATCCACCGTTCCCAATTAATCCCCCCATTCCGAAACGTCACTCTGTATCATTTATTTTTCAAATGTCTTCTTATAAATTATGCACGCCAAAGATTAGCGCAAACACATACCAGTGCACCAACACACATAAACTCATACATAACTACAAACTTTGACCAGTGACATCCAAACACACACCCAAGCACATACCAGTGCACCACCACACATAAACTCATTCATAAATACAAACATTGACATGCGACACTTAAACACAAACACACATAAACTCTTACATAAATACAAACATGAATATGTAACACTCAAACACAACCACAAACACACACACACATGCAGTTAAAACAAAAATTGTGATTTTAAAAATTAAAAAAAATGATTAAATATATTATATTGATTTCTTTTTTAAAATGGATGTGGGTAAATGGCACATGTTTTGTCAATCAACTGAGTAAAAGACATTTAATCAGTGTATAACTCAAGGACTCTTGGAGGTGTTGTAGGCACATGTACACGCTCTACTCATTCAATAAAACTCTCATCTCTGCACGGCTTAATCCTCAAACTACAATCCCACTCAACTGCTGAAAGAGATTACTTTCAAATGCTTGTTCACACTCGATTCCTTCAGTAGACTTGATAAAAGAGAGTGGGGTCAAACAGCATGTTTTTCTAATAGTATTACTTGGTTTTTAAATGCAGAGATTCTGAGGCATTTTAAAATTAGTAATTCTCATTAAATTAACGGTTCGAGTCCCTTAGACCCAACTTTTTCACAAGGCGTGAACACGATTGTCCAGAGACAGTTATTTAAATAGTTATAAGAAGATTTATTTTAAATAATAGTTTAGAAGTTTATTTTGGGAACATTATATTTATCTAATATTTTTTTAAAATTAATTTTGTTTGGAGTGTACAATTAACATAGTATTTGCCTCGCTGGTTTACACATAGTTTTTTTAGGGCGAGGCGTCAAAAATATTTAAAATAAATTTAAGTTTTGAGTCTCATTATAATTATGCTTAAAATAATTATGATTTTATTTACTTACTTAATTGACGCAGAAATCTAGATAATTATTTGCATCTTTTTAAATCTATCATATTTCCAACACTTGTGTGTGTCTAAATAGTTCCAGTTGGTGTGGTCGCTGATATTATGATTTTTAATAAGACTATAGGATCTTTTTACAAAAGACGTGAGTTCGTAATAAAATTGTTCGACATTAGTTTGTTTGAAAGGGAATTCGTTCAGCTGAAATGTCTTGCAACGGAAGTTTGTTGGAACAGACGAAATGGGAATATAACAACAATAGTACCTACTTTTTTTAAAAATTCAAAACTTAACATTTTCAACAATTCCCTTGCCCTTGACAAAACTTTTAACAATCAATAAAGAAATCTTAGTTGTAACAATGTTAATTTCGGAAAACACCTTTCTATTTAATTTAAGCGTGAACACATTTCATTTTGAACAAATGTTAATTGAACAATTTCCATTAAGAAAGTTTTCTTTTGTACGAATTTACAGATAAGGTTAATTTTTATGTCTATATCTTTTACTGCTGCAGCTAAGGGCAAACCAGGCGATGGTGTAAATAGTCGAGGCAATCTCGACAGTAATAAAACACATAGGTATATTGTGTCACTAGTAAAACAGTGTCAAAGTGTCACTTGTTTCTTGTATAGTGTTAATAAATATATTACACTGTTACCATGTGCATTAAAAGTTTAATTATTCTACTTAGCATGCTTTCAACATAATTTTAATGTATTTTAATTATTTTTAATAATATTATTTTTTTAGTTTTTAATAATTTTTTCTTTAAATGTCATTATTTTCGACAGGTGAAGCTAGTACTTATGTTATTTCAACAAAAAAAAATAATAAAATAAAATTAAGGAATAAAAAATACCAATAAATGCTTCAACAAAAGTATATTTTAAGACTGTAACTGTTAAAAATATCAGTTTAGTAGTTTTTAATTTTGTTTCAAAGTGTATAACCGTTATATTGTTGTACACATTTTGCTCCGGGGGGCACTTGACGTCCCTCTGCCAACTCTGAAATTTTTGTGAAATGAGCACTATATTTTAAAATGTTTTTTAAAATATAAATGTGCACCCAAATGTTGATAAAGAAAAGAATAATTTAAAAAATATTACCGGTATTTCGAATAAATAATTGGACAATGCTAGAAATAATCTAGCTTGAAACTCACAGCCCCCATTGTATTAAGTAAAAGAAATTGATAGTTTTATTTTAACGTTCACTATACGATTTTTAGTGAGTTTAGTACATTTATTTTTAGTACATTTCTTCAATAGAAATTAAAATAATGTGTTTTACTTTCTACTATGGTTTCTTCAGGATTTATTTTCATTCATTTAAATTATGATGAAATTTATTTTAAATTATATTTAGTTCATTTACACTAATTGGAAATGAAATCCTCTACCCTTAAAACCAGTCTTACATAATTTAACGTAGCACATTAAGTTAAAGATTATATTATAACCATGGTGTTCAATCATTTGTTTAACAGGTTAAAAAAAACACATTTAAATCCTTTTTAAAATGTTAAACGAGTTTAAATCAAATTTAACGAGAGAACAATTGTTCACCCTTAGAATAAAATGTTGATTAGTGAAACCTAAAGTCTTTTTAAACTTTCATGTGTTTCTCCAATTGGTAATCAATTGTGTTTCCAATACTTCTAGTAATTAGCTGAAACAATTATCTAATGTGGCAGGTCAGTTTAGAAATAGTTATTTGTTTGGAATAACGTATTGTTATGTGAATGAGATAATCAGATAATATTTTGGAAGCTGTACCTGAGCGGGGGTGGGGATATTTTCAAGTAGGCCCTACTCTATAATTTAAAAGTGACAGAAGTTTTATTTAATTATATATATTTAAATATAGCCCCTGAATGTTAATAACGGAACGTATTTTCAAAAAAAAATATAAAACAATCAAAGCATATCTACCTTTTAGAATTAGCACAGATATATTTTCCTCTTTTAGAATAACCCCATCACTGTAAAATATTTTGTTATGATCCAGCTAAAATATTCTCATTCATTATTTTATAGCTTTACAACGAGTGAAATAAAGTT